CCAAAAAGAATAATATAAAAGGAATGAAAAATAATATTTAAAATGAGCAGTTAAAAATATAAAAAATCTGTTTGAGTGTATATTGAAAAAGTGAGTAGTTAAAATTGAAAAAATGAGTAGTTAAAATAGAAAAAATTAATTTTTAGGTAGCTAAAATATAATTTGTTGTTGAAGATGCTCTTAGTAGATCATGGTAAGAAATCAGATTATTAGGTAATAAAACATCTTCAACTCTGATTCAAAATTTTAAATTTGAGTAAAAAAGTTACTCTAACCTTTAACTCATATTTATACCAAATCAAGGGAGACTCATTTTTTTACTCAAATCAAGGGAGATTCAAATCTTTAATAGTGCGATTTCACCGTCTTTTAAAGATTCGATAGTCATTTTTACTCTTTTTTAAATTTGAGTTTGTCATCATTTAAATTTGAGTTTCTCTTTCTGTAAATGTAAATTTGTCAATTGAAATCTTAATATTAAATTAAATTTTTTATTCAAATATTAATTTAATTTNCAAGTCCATTATAATACACTTCTATTAGTTGTTAGTTATAAGCTTGCTTGTTATCGTAATAATATGATCTCAAAGCCAACATTAATCTATGATCACAAAGTAGGTTGTCTAATCCCATGAGATTCGAATCATCATGTGTTGCCACATGACATTTTTTTTCGTACTACCTTTAATGCATGAAACATTCAAGAGTCAANATTCGAATCATCATGTGTTGCCACATGACATTTTTTTTCGTACTACCTTTAATGCATGAAACATTCAAGAGTCAATCTATATAATTCAATAATATTTTGTAGTTACCATGTCGAAAAACTACTTTTCAATTCTATTCTTTTACTTCTCATCTAATTAAAATCATGGAACATGTAAAGTTTTTCAATATTTTTATTATTTTTTTCAATCAATACTTGTAAATTATTCAACTCAAAATTAACAGCTCGAGATGAATGTCAATACGTTGCCTTATTCATACATATCTTATTAATGTAACTGTTAATTTTTTTTTATTGAGACTACGTCAAATGCCATATTAGAGCATATCCAACAAGTTCTATAAATGATCAAAATAGCTAAAATTTAGTTAATCAAAGTTAAAAGTCATGCTTCATCAAATGTTGTTCATATGCTCTAAAATAGATTTTTGCTACAGTAATACTCTAAATATAGAGTAGCACTATAGCAACTTGTAAATATATTTTATATTATTTTTTTCTCTCTTCCTCTCCTTTCTTCCATTCTCTCTCTTTCTCACTTTCATTATTCCCAAAAAGAATAATATAAAAGGANTTTTTTCTCTCTTCCTCTCCTTTCTTCCATTCTCTCTCTTTCTCACTTTCATTATTCCCAAAAAGAATAATATAAAAGGAATGAAAAATAATATTTAAAATGAGCAGTTAAAAATATAAAAAATCTGTTTGAGTGTATATTGAAAAAGTGAGTAGTTAAAATTGAAAAAATGAGTAGTTAAAATAGAAAAAATTACTTTTTAGGTAGCTAAAATATAATTTGTTGTTGAAGATGCTCTTAGTAGATCATGGTAAGAAATCAGATTATTAGGTAATAAAACATCTTCAACTCTGATTCAAAATTTTAAATTTGAGTAAAAAAGTTACTCTAACCTTTAACTCATATTTATACCAAATCAAGGGAGACTCATTTTTTTACTCAAATCAAGGGAGATTCAAATCTTTAATAGTGCGATTTCACCGTCTTTTAAAGATTCGATAGTCATTTTTACTCTTTTTTAAATTTGAGTTTGTCATCATTTAAATTTGAGTTTCTCTTTCTGTAAATGTAAATTTGTCAATTGAAATCTTAATATTAAATTAAATTTTTTATTCAAATATTAATTTAATTTTGAATAAAAAATTTAAATCATGACTAGAGACGCTGTCAGTAGAATTATTGAAGGGTATAGCAGAGACAAATTCACAACTTGTACGTTAGTCTTGTTTATAAATTTGAGTGTTTTTGAGTTATGACAGACATCCTATAAAATGGGAACCTCAACATACTTCCTGCCAAATTTATTCTATAAAATTAATGTTACATAGCCTTAAAAACATGAAATGATAATGTAACTGTTATATGAGTAGTGTTATGTATTTTAAATTTGTAATTTAAATTTGTATTTCAAATCAAGGAGGATCATTAGATCAGTGGGTCTCGTCAATTTTTTAAAATGAAACTCATTGATCCAGTAGTCCTCTTTAATTTGGGATGCAAATTTAAGTTACAAATTTAGGATACATATCATTATTCATGTTATATTTATCATTGATTTAATTGTGGGTCTCAGTATTTATTGAGACTCATTACCAATTCAAAGATATTGATTCATTTTAAAGTCTATTTTAACATTTTTCTTCCTAAAAGAAGTCTTCACACGACCTAGAAATATGAAGAAAAAAAAAAGAGAGGTGATTTTCATAGAGGTGACCTTACAGCAAAAGAACTCATTGCTACTTTGGATTAGAATTTTAAAAAATATTTACAAAACATCGTACACAGTACATAAGACTTTTTTTTGAGATTTAGAAAAGACAAACATTCCAACCGAGTATATCCATGGGGACCATCAGCTATTCCAACTAGAACTAATTATAGGTGGGGCAGAACTACTTGTGGCAAGACTGTCAAAAATATTTACGAGTGCTATGATTTTTGTCGAAAACTCTATGTAAAAAGTACTCTCACCAAAAACCAATTCAGTGCTTCAAACTCTTGCTTTCTTGTTTTCATATAAAAGGGTCTTTCCCTACAAATATAATAATCAATTAATAGTAAAGCGAGAGCTTAAACAAGTCTAAGATTATTTTGTACAGAGAATCAGAAAATTATGTAGAGTTCGAGAGGATTTTAGTGAATAAGAACTGTTAACGAAGGTAAGGACGGTAGAATGGGCCGGACCTTAGGTTGACTCCAAAACTAAGTGGGCCATAGTGGCTGACCATGACACATGAAGGTAATGTATAATGGATTGGAACAGTGGATGGATGAGTGAGGCATAAGGGCTTGCACCATAACCAATTTGGTAACCTATTCTATTCCCCCTGGGCCATTGGCTTTATAATTGGCCTAATCCGCACGTTGACTAGGAACACAGCAGCATGGGCGATTGACCTGTAGTCAGATTGGCCCGAGACCAGCCCCTATCATTTTTCCTCAAGGCCAAGGGAGGTGCAAGTTTGCCAGCCTTTGGGTCATGTTTGGATGGTTTTAGCATGAGAGAATTGGATTGCTTTTAGCAAATCCTTGCAAATCTATTTTATTTTTTGTACATGAAATTTATAAATAAATTTTATCCAATCTTTTGTTTGATAAGTAGCATAAACACATGTGGTTTCCACAAATTAATTAGAATTATAATAAAACATTTACCATGTAATTGACAAAATTGCCCCATCCAATCTTTGTAATTTTGTAGATTAAGGATAGAAAAATCTTTTTATCATTGTGTCAGGAGTTGACTGATTTCAAAACCATCCCACCCCCTTGGATTTGTTGAAATCCATATTCATTGGTTTAGCCTTTTAGGCCAATTACAGTCAGGATTAAAATCCTTAACCAAACTTAAACCCACCCTTTTAAACCCATCAGACAAACAAGCCTTTGTAGTTGTGAATTGTGGATGGCTTATCCATACTTTATGACAATATAAATTGCTTGAACACCCATTTAACTATATTCATATCACATTGTTGAGAGAATTCATTGAGTATCTGTATTGATATTTTTGGTTGCCACAAACATGAGCATATTAAGTGCCTCAACTCTAGTCAATGCTGACCCCAAATCCTACCCCCCAAAACCCTCATGGGAAATGCTATATAAAACTACTCGAAACTTCATTTCAAACTAATACTAATTGATAATTTATGTTTGTTGTACTTTTTATAAACATTAACAGCCTAAAGGATACCTTCAGGGATTTGTCTTCATACCCTATTTACATTTTAGGGTAAAATACATTGATGATTCCTCAAGTATGCGTTTTCTGTAAGTTTGGTCCCCAATTTTTGAATCAATTTGTGTCGTTTTGCTCCAATTGAAAAAGTCAATTTGAATTGATTAGCAGGGACGTTCAGACGACCACTTGTATCATTTTAGTTACTCAAGTTTATAATTTGTGTCACTTTAAATTTTAAAATTTTCAAACAATGTGCCTCAAAGTGTAACCATGCGACATGTACGTGACAATCTCCGTTAGTAAATTCTAACTACCATTTTTTATTAGACTAAATTGACATAAATTGAAATGTTAAGGGACTAAATTAACACAATTAAAAGATTGATAAACTAAATTGACACAAAACGTATAATTTGGAGATCACAAATATATTTTACCCTACTTTTTATTGCTCTTTGTGGTGTGAATTAACAGCCATTACTTTTACATAAAGACCAATGTCATTATTACCTCATTTACTGATCTAATTTACTATGCTCTTTAGATTGATTATAAGTCTCATCAAACATTAAAATTTGGTGTTGATAATACTGTTCTAATGAAACAACATCATTAGGTAAACAAATTATATCAAAATTTTAAGTTCAAATAGCATTCCTCAAACATAAATGCCTAATGTCATTTATAAAATTCCATGCCAACAACACAGCAAAGTCATGAACTGAGAGCACTCCAGTCAGCCTTGACTTTAGCTTTGTGTTTCCCCTCAACCTTTGTTTTTGTTCCCACTCATTTGTCCTAAACCAACTCAAAGCATATTAATGATTTTGAGACAGCTCTGGGGTTTAGCCAAATATATATTTCTTGAATTTATCTCCAGAATATGTTTGTTAAATTGGTGTTTCCAAGACAAAGGTGACAAATTTTATGTCAAACCTTAGCTCTATAAATTGCTCTCCAAGTTATTAATGTGTATTGCCCTACTACCACTATGGCTCCCTTAACAAATCTCTTTTTTCTTCTGATCACATATTTACTAGTTCCCCCTTCCTTTGTTCATGCAACAACTTTCAATGTTGTTTCAGGAACACAAGATGGGTCTGAAAATTGGGGATACGTTGAAGTTCGCCCGAGTATGTCCAAATTTTCTTCGAAAACATATACTTTTTCTTTTTTTTCACATCTCACTTTCTATCGTGTCGCATTGTTGTTGGTACAATTGTGTTATCATGGTTATTATCATTTTATTTAAGTCCCTTACTCGTTGATTTGTAATAATACAGAGGCCCACCTATTTTGGTGGCATTATAGAAGTGCNGTTGTTGGTACAATTGTGTTATCATGGTTATTATCATTTTATTTAAGTCCCTTACTCGTTGATTTGTAATAATACAGAGGCCCACCTATTTTGGTGGCATTATAGAAGTGCTTACAGAGTTGAAGATCCATCCAATCCATGGCCAATAATTCTTTGGCTCCAAGGGGGTCCTGTGAGTAGTTGTTCTAATGCATTAAACTTAAAAATAAAATAGGAGAATTAATTAGATGATAACTCTAATTTCTGCTATTTGAATTCAGGGAGCTTCTGGAGTTGGATTTGGAAATTTCTTTGAAATAGGACCATTGGATATAAACTTAGAGCCCCGAAATTCAACTTGGCTCAAGAAAGCTGATCTGCTATTTGTGGTACCAATTTATAGCTCTTGTTTCTAGTAAAAATTGACTTAAAGCGGATCATTGTTTACAGTTAGCAATTGTATGCTTCCGGATTAAACATAAAAATCCAAATGAAAGTGTGCCTTTCTTTGGATTAATTTCTTCGTTAGTGTTCACTTGTGATTTGAGCTCTCATTTTACCAGCACGCTTTCATGTGATTGTAGGATAGCCCAGTTGGAACAGGTTTTAGCTACGTCGAGGATGAAAAGTTAGCAGTTAAGACTGATGAAGAGTCGGCAACAGATTTAACAACCATGTTGAAGTTTCTGTTCAATAATGATGAGAGCCTCCAGAAAAGCCCTTTGTACATTTTTGCAGAATCCTATGGAGGGAAGTTTGCTGTTACACTTGGGGTGTCAGCTCTTAAGGCAATTGAAGCAGGGGAATTAAAACTTCAACTTGGAGGCAATAATTTATTTCTTCTATCTAGATACACTTACGCACTGTTTCATTAGCATCCTATATGCATTTTTGGTTTTTAGTAAAAAAAATCCCAAATGCTTATCAATGAGGAATCAACTTGAGTATATTAGATTGCAGCTGGCAAGAGGGAAATGATCATCTCGATTTTCTATAATAAACCTCCTAACACAACATGTAAACATCTATGTTTTATGGTGTCTTGGGTACAGGAGTTGCTTTGGGAGACAGTTGGATTTCCCCTGAAGATTTTGTGGTATGTGAATTTATGGCAGAATATAATTCTTAGTATTGCATTTGGAAGAACGATCTTCAGTCTTATCATTCAGAATCCTTGCTGAAATATGCAGTTTTCGTGGGGGCCTCTTCTTAAGGATGTGTCGCGCATTGACAACAATGGCTTGAACCAATCAAACAGGTTTGCCAAATGAAACCTTACTAGACAAATATTAGTGAAACAAAATTAATCCAGCAAGCTTACTTTGTGAGAACAGCTTAGCTCTAAAGATTCAGCAGCAACTGGCAGAAGGGAAGTATGAAGATGCAACACAAACATGGGGTGATCTTGAAGGTGTTATTTTGGATCACAGTAATGATGTGGTATCTCTCTTTTTCTCCTTCTCTTTCTCTCTCTCTCACACAAACATAGTACCATTCAGAATAATCAGGCATAGTGTTGCACATACAGGACTTTTATAACTTCATGTTGGATACTGGAAATGGCGTTGCTACGTCAACAACAAAGACATTGAAAGGGGTAGAAAAGTACTTGACATATCTCAGCATCAAGTTTTCATCAACCAATGGGGCATCAGCTGTTGACTTGGATAGCTTCATGAATGGGCCCATTAGAGAGAAGCTACAGATTATCCCACAGAATTTAACGTAAGTTCTGTCAGCACCCGAAATTTCCCACTTTGGATTGAAAAAATAAATTGTCAAGGTTAAGTTAAAGCAGAGAGGTGTAGCATGTATCTTATATTAATATACAAAACTCAGAACTAATGAATGCATGTATGTATAACAAAAATTCATGCTTCTTTCTGTTGTGAAAACTAGAAAGATGGTTGCTAGAAAGATGGTTGCTAATGTTTTAACAATTGTTGTATTACAGATGGGGAGAACAGAGTGACATTGTATTTTATGCCATGGTTGGCGATTTTATGAAACCAAGAATCAAGGAGGTACAAACTGTAAAAATAATTATAGATTTTAAGCATATATTTATAATTGAAATTAATAAAAATTGCTACTAAACTTTTGGCCAAATCAACAATTATTAGAATTATGATGTGAGCAATATAATTATGAGTGTTGTGATCTAAAATTCGAAATAAAACATGTAAACAATAGTTAGATCATATAACATGTAATTTAAATACATAAATACATAAAATATATAAACATGCAATCTATATAAACTAAATAAATTAATTTAGAATGAGCTGGTCTGCGAGTTCGAGAGGCGTGCGATCACTGTCCTAAAGCAGCTGAGCCTCCCACGTGAGGGCACTAAAGGACACCAGCGACTCCAAGATCCAACCCAGATGCTCGCAGCAGCACCTTCTTAATGGTCACGTCCACTGGAAGGATGAAGTGAACTTGACTCAAATCGAGTTGCCCAAAAAATAAAGTAATAGAAGATAATCGAAAAAGATAGGCCAAAATATAAAAGAATTGATATGAGCAAAAGTCTACTGAAATGAAGACCGTAGTATTTCTATTTTATTCACTTGAAAATGATTTCTCAAAGACTTTATATAGCCACTGTGTGTCTAACGTACATACATACAATGACTATTCAATTTTTTTTTTCCACCCGTTTGAAACATGATTACTATTTAATGGTTTTCAATTGTTTTGCAAATGCTGACTTTCCAATTTCTTTTTGACCATTGGCTACTATTTAACCTACAAATGATATATATATATATTCAATGGATTTGAATGTTTAGCCTTGAATACCCATAAAACTAATTTTAAAATCAATAATAATTATTCTTGAATATTCACACTATATAGGACCAAAAAATTTGCAACTGATATTCACATAATTAAAATGAAAATTTAATAAAAATTTTAAAAACTTAATTTTATTCTTACAAAAACTATTGTGTTTTGACATTTGGCTAATTTAACATGGGAAAAATAGACAAAATTTCTTCCCCATTTCAACTAAGTTCTACTAGTTGTTTGTTTGTGTGGATTTGAACTTTATAATGTTTTTTCCAGGTTGATGAGCTCCTAACCAAAGGTGTAAATGTGACCATATACAATGGGCAGGTACGGAGCTTGATTTTAGAACCTTGACAATCTTTTTATCCAGATAGTGAGGTATCATCTCAACATATGCCATTTGGGCTAAAATGTAAAACTCGAATGTACAGAATCACCCACGAATGGTGTCCATAAGTTAAACCCGAGTTTTAGGCACCAGAGCATCCAGACATCATGACTATCTTAGATTTGATTGACTTGTATTGTATTGTATGTTGCATGCCCACCATGACAATGTCCTGCAACTCACATAGATTTATGGTTGACAGATTGATCTCATATGCTCAACCAAAGGGGCTGAAGCATGGGTTGACAAACTAAAGTAGTAACACTTAATCTCATTTGTGTTGGCATTTTGTAATTACCTCCTTTCTCAGAAGGTTAATCAATTGACTTTGCTTCTTAGGTGGTATGATCTGCAAAATTATTTGAGCTCACCTCGGGCACCTCTGTACTGTGGAAGGGATGAAACAACTACCAAAGGGTTCATGAGCTCATACAAAAATTTGTTTTTCTATTGGATCCTTGGAGCCGGGCACTTCGTAAGTTTTTACTTCATCTTCATTCGTGTTGTTCTTATCATTGTTGTCACCAAAAATTTCATTTGAAAAGAAAGAATCGACATACTAGAACCACCATAAAATCGGGTTAGAACCAGTTCACCATTCACAGCCATAACGAAACATACCAACATTAAAACCATCGCAAAAATCCACCCAAAAATAACATTTGACATATGTTGTTCTAATAACTTCGGTTTTTTGGCTAGTCTAGACAGAGCCTCTAACTGCAATGCTTTCTTTTCTTGTGATGCCATTTACAGGTTCCAGTAGATCAGCCCTGTGTTTCTTTGCAGATGGTGGGCAGTATTACTCGATCACCGAGTAATTCAACATACTAGACCACAGAGGAGGACAAGAAGGAAGTCCTAATCAGTTAAGGGGTCCCGTAACTATTACCAAACCCCTAACCAACTTGGTGGTTTTCCATGAAAAATAGGCAATGTTTAACTTTTTAAGTGCAAAATAAATTCTAATAAAAAGGAATTTCTGCATTGTTCATTCCAGTATTCACTTAAATTAACAGCAAAAGAGAAACTAATTTATGTTGACATCCTATTTCAATCATCCAAATGAAAAGCCAAGGGTACAAATGGCAAAAACCAACAAGAAAGGGGATGAAAAACCATAGAACAGTCCCCACCCTACCCGTAGTCTATGCTTAGTGCAACATTAAGATACATTGCAAGCTCTACTGAAATAATAACACATTTTATCGACAGGTTGGGTTGCGTTGCAAGGTTAAAGGCGGAAGTAGAAGAGTCATTCAATCTTGTTCGTCTAAACTATCGTTAGGGGAGAGAGAGAGAGAGAGTAAACCCAAGAAACAAAACTGAGTTAAGTTTGCTCTTCAAATATTGGCAGTTTAGTGGCAGCCCTTGTGAAATGCTTAACTATGGACACGTACCAGAGTCTTCTCATTGAGTATAATTGAAATTGGTTGCATAGAATTGGTACGAGTTGGCACACCAATTCCATGCAAAATATTTCTTCAATCTCACTTAAAAGTTCTCTACACACACCCAAAGACAAAGAAAGAAAGGAAGGCCTCAAATTGAAGTAACAACATACTAAAAGCAATTGGAATCAATGTTTTAAGGACAAGTCCCCTCTAATAAACATATATATATTTTATTTTTTGGTTGGTCATGTTTCTTGAATTTAAATAAAACTCATTATATATATGGCAAACTTCAGTTAGTATACCCCAAAAACTAACGGGACTTTGTCCAATAATATCCTCTTACCTTGTGAAAATCTTGTTTTCTTGAAGTTAAGGGTTCAATTTTAACTACCCCTATCTCACCAAAAAAAAATATATATATATATATACCCCAAATTCCCTTTGCTTCCCTGTGAATTAGAAATTTCCACATACGCCTCACGTAGTTTATAGACTTGTACTCAATAATTCAACATATCTTACTAAAATTGCAGCTGACGCGATTATTTTGCAACTTAGACTGGAGAATTCATCTCTTGATGACAAAAATACCCTTGTATCATTCTTCTCGCTTTTTACACTGTCTAGCCTTTCTCTCTCTCATACGCACAAACCCATCTCTGTAAAACAAGTCTTCCCTAAGAAGTTTGAAGACCCGGGGTTGTCCACCTATATTACTGATCAATCAAATTAAGGCCACAAGCATATGTAAAATCCCAAAGAGCATTAGTTAGATTAATCCATAATCAGACAATTTGCTAAGTTTTTTGACAGAAATGACTACGCGTCACTCTTTCAGATGATATCACGTGTCTAACACTTGATCATTCAATAAAAAATTTAAAGGTTCATTTATATAGGAATTATTCTAAACGGCAAACTAACGGCTGTTAACTTCGGGTGCGCATTGATATAAATTTATATATTTGAGGGTGTAAATTTAGATTTTTGATATTTGAAGGTAAAAATTAAAATTCGATCTATCTTTTGGAATGTAATTTGCGATTAACCTTTTAGGAAATCCTTCTAAATCCATTTTTTTTTCTTTTGTACATGAGATTTATATATAAATTCCATCCAATTTTTTGTTTGATTAGTAGTATAAACACAAGTGGGGCCTACGAATTAATCATAATTATAATAAAATATTTATCATATAATTGACTAAATTGTCCTATCCAATTCAATTTAATTTGGTAAATTAAAGATAAAAAAAAATTATCATTATGTCATGGGTTGATTAATTTCAAACCCACCCACCCCCCATGAATTGGTTGAAACCCATATTCATGATCATGACTTTAACCTTATGGACCGGTTACCCGAAAACATATTAATTTCGGTGATTAAAAACTTTTAACTAAACATATGATTAAGTAATCTATTGAACTATTTTACTTAAAACCACTCTTACATACCCTCCAAAACCCATCAAACAAACAATCCCCTGTAGTTATGAATTGTGAATGGCTTATCCATACTTTATGAAAATATAAATTGTTTGAACCCCCATTAACTCTATTCATATCACATTGTTGAGAGAATTTATTGAGTATCTGTATTGATATTTTTGGTTGCCACAAATATGAGCATATTAAGTGCCTCAACTCTAGTCAATCCTGAGCCCAAATCCTACCTACATAAACTGCAGCAAAAACAAGAGAACCGTCAAGGTTGGCCCCAAACCCTCCTCATGAACCTTCATGGGAAATGCTATATAAAACTACTCGAAACTTTATTTCAAACTAATACTAATTGATAATTTATGTTTTTTTTAATTTTTTATATGTATCCACTCTTAAAAATGCTTCAAAGCATTCTCTTTTTGTATAAACCCTTAGACCAAAAGCCACAAAAACAAAAGAATAGAAAATAAAACAAAAGAAAGGAAAACAAAAAAAGTAAGAAAGAAATGAGTACTTATATAAACATTAATAGCCTAAAGTATGCGGTTTGTGTCAGTTTGGTTCCTAATTTTTGAATTGTGTTAATTTGGTTTCTCAATTTTTTAATTTGTGTCATTTTAGCCAAAGTAAAAAACGTCAATCTGAATTGATTAACAGAGATGTTCACGTGATTACACTTGAAGGGTCCTTTTGGTTTCTCAAATTTTTAACTTATATCATTTTAGTCCTTCAAATTTATAATTTTTGTCACTTTAGCTCCTAAAGTTTTCAAACAATGTGCCTCAAGTGTAATCACGTGATATGTACGTGACGATCTCCGTTATTAAATTCCAACTATCGTTTTCGATTCGATCAAAGTAACACAAACAGAAAAAATGAGAGACCAAATTGATACATTAAAAATATTAGGGACCAAATTGACACAAAACGCATAATTTGAGGACTACAATATATTTTATCCCACTTTTTATAGCTCTTTGTGGTGTGAACTAGCAGCCATTACCTTATCATAAATGCCTAAAATTCCATGTCAACAACACAGCAAAGTCATGAACTCAGAGCACTCCAGTCGGCCTTTGCTTTGGCTTTGTGTTTCCCTTCAACCTTTGTTTTTGTTCCCACTCATTTGTCCCAAACCAACTCAAAGCATATTAATGATTGTGAGACAGATCTGGGGTTTAAGCCAAATATATAATTCTTGATTTTATCTCCAGAATATGTTTGTTAAATTGGTGTTTCCGAGACAAAGGTGACAAATTTTATGTCAAACCTTAGCTCTATAAATTGCTCTCCAAGTCATTAATGTATATTGCACTACTACTACTATGGCTCCCCTAAAAAATCTCTTTTTTCTTCTGATCACATATTTACTAGTTCCCCCTTCCTTTGTTCATGCAACTTTCAATGTTGTTTCAGGAACAAAAGATGGGTCTGAAAATTGGGGATATGTCGAAGTTCGTCCCAGTATGTCCAAATTTGTCTTTCTTCACATCTCACTTTCTATAGTGTCGCGTTGTTGGTGGCGCAATTGTGTTATCATGATTATTATCATTTTATTTAAATCCCTTACTCATTGATTTCTTCTAATACAGAGGCCCACCTGTTTTGGTGGCACTACAGAAGTCCTTACAGAGTTGAAGATCCATCCAATCCATGGCCAATAATTCTTTGGCTCCAAGGGGGTCCTGTGAGTAGTTGTTCTAATACATTAAACTTAAAAATAAAATAGGAGAATTAATTAGATGATAACTCTAATTTTTGAAAATCTGATATTTGAATTCAGGGAGCTTCTGGAGTTGGATTTGGAAATTTCCTTGAAATTGGACCATTGGATATAAACTTAGAGCCCCGAAATTCAACTTGGCTCAAGAAAGCTGATCTGCTATTTGTGGTACCAATTTATAGCTCTTTTTTCTAGTAAAAATTGACTTAAAATGGATCATTGTTTACAGTTGGCAATTGTATGCTCCCGGATTAAACATAAGAATCCAAATGAAATTGTGCCTTTCTTAGGATTGATTTCTTCATTAGTGTTCACTTGTGATTTGACCTCTCATTTTACCAGTGCGCTTTTCATGTGATTGTAGGATAGCCCAGTTGGAACAGGTTTTAGTTATGTCGAGGATGAAAAATTGGCAGTTAAGACTGATGACGAGTCAGCAACTGATTTAACAACCTTGTTGAAGTTTCTGTTCAATAATGATGAGAGCCTCCAGAAAAGCCCTTTGTACATTTTTGCAGAATCCTATGGAGGGAAGTTTGCTGTTACACTTGGGGTGTCAGCTCTTAAGGCAATTGAAGCAGGGGAATTAAAACTTCAACTTGGAGGCAATAATTTATTTCTTCTATCTAGATACACTTACGCACTGTTTCATTAGCATCCTATATGCATTTTTGGTTTTTAGTAAAAAAAATCCCAAATGCTTATCAATGAGGAATCAACTTGAGTATATTAGATTGCAGCTGGCAAGAGGGAAATGATCATCTCGATTTTCTATAATAAACCTCCTAACACAACATGTAAACATCTATGTTTTATGGTGTCTTGGGTACAGGAGTTGCTTTGGGAGACAGTTGGATTTCCCCTGAAGATTTTGTGGTATGTGAATTTATGGCAGAATATAATTCTTAGTATTGCATTTGGAAGAACGATCTTCAGTCTTATCATTCAGAATCCTTGCTGAAATATGCAGTTTTCGTGGGGGCCTCTTCTTAAGGATGTGTCCCGCATTGACAACAATGGCTTGAACCAATCAAACAGGTTTGCCAAATGAAACCTTACTAGACAAATATTAGTGAAACAAAATTAATCCAGCAAGCTTACTTTGTGAGAACAGCTTAGCTCTAAAGATTCAGCAGCAACTGGCAGAAGGGAAGTATGAAGATGCAACACAAACATGGGGTGATCTTGAAGATGTTATTTTGGATCACAGTAATGATGTGGTATCTCTCTTTTTCTCCTTCTCTTTCTCTCTCTCTCACACAAACATAGTACCATTCAGAATAATCAGGCATAGTGTTGCACATACAGGACTTTTATAACTTCATGTTGGATGCTGGAAATGGCGTTGCTACGTCAACAACAAAGACATTGAAAGGGGTAGAAAAGTACTTGACATATCTCAGCATCAAGTTTTCATCAACCAATGGGGCATCAGCTGTTGACTTGGATAGCTTCATGAATGGGCCCATTAGAGAGAAGCTACAGATTATCCCACAGAATTTAACGTAAGTTCTGTCAGCACCCGAAATTTCCCACTTTGGATTGAAAAAATAAATTGTCAAGGTTAAGTTAAAGCAGAGAGGTGTAGCATGTATCTTATATTAATATACAAAACTCAGAACTAATGAATGCATGTATGTATAACAAAAATTCATGCTTCTTTCTGTTGTGAAAACTAGAAAGATGGTTGCTAATGTTTTAACAATTGTTGTATTACAGATGGGGAGAACAGAGTGACATTGTATTTTATGCCATGGTTGGCGATTTTATGAAACCAAGAATCAAGGAGGTACAAACTGTAAAAATAATTATAGATTTTAAGCATATATTTATAATTGAAATTAATAAAAATTGCTACTAAACTTTTGGCCAAATCAACAATTATTAGAATTATGATGTGAGCAATATAATTATGAGTGTTGTGATCTAAAATTCGAAATAAAACATGTAAACAATAGTTAGATCATATAACATGTAATTTAAATACATAAATACATAAAATATATAAACATGCAATCTATATAAACTAAATAAATTAATTTAGAATGAGCTGGTCTGCGAGTTCGAGAGGCGTGCGATTACTGTCCTAAAACAGCTGAGCCTCCCACGTGAGGGTACTAACGGACACCAGCGACTCCAAGATCCAACCCAGATGCTCGCAGCAGCACCTTCTTAATGGTCACGTCCACTGGAAGGATGAAGTGAACTTGACTCAAATCGAGTTGCCCAAAAAATAAAGTAATAGAAGATAATCGAAAAAGATAGGCCAAAATATAAAAGAATTGATATGAGCAAAAGTCTACTGAAATGAAGACCGTAGTATTTCTATTTTATTCACTTGAAAATGATTTCTCAAAGACTTTATATAGCCACTGTGTGTCTAACGTACATACATACAATGACTATTCAATTTTTTTTTTCCACCCGTTTGAAACATGATTACTATTTAATGGTTTTCAATTGTTTTGCAAATGCTGACTTTCCAATTTCTTTTTGACCATTGGCTACTATTTAACCTACAAATGATATATATATATATTCAATGGATTTGAATGTTTAGCCTTGAATACCCATAAAACTAATTTTAAAATCAATAATAATTATTCTTGAATATTCACACTATATAGGACCAAAAAATTTGCAACTGATATTCACATAATTAAAATGAAAATTTAATAAAAATTTTAAAAACTTAATTTTATTCTTACAAAAACTATTGTGTTTTGACATTTGGCTAATTTAACATGGGAAAAATAGACAAAATTTCTTCCCCATTTCAACTAAGTTCTACTAGTTGTTTGTTTGTGTGGATTTGAACTTTATAATGTTTTTTCCAGGTTGATGAGCTCCTAACCAAAGGCGTAAATGTGACCATATACAATGGGCAGGTATGGAGCTTGATTTTAGAACCCTGACTATCTTTTTATCCTGACAGTGGGGTATCATCTCAAATGTGCCATTTGGGCAAAAATGTAAAACTCGATTGTACAAAATCACCCACAAATGATGTACGTAAGTTAAACCCGAGTTTTAGGCAGCCAGAGAATCCAGACACCATGACTATCTTAGATTTGATTGACTTGTATTGTATTGTATGTTGCATGCCCACCATGACAATGTCCTGTAACTGATATTGATTTATGGTTGACAGATTGATCTCATATGCTCAACCAAAGGGGCTGAAGCATGGCTTGACAAACTAAAGTAGTAACACTGACCTCATTTGTGTTGGCATTTTGTAATTACCTCCTTTCTCAGAAGGTTAATCAATTGACTTGGATTCTTAGGTGGTATGATCTGCAAAATTATTTGAGCTCACCTCGGGCACCTCTGTACTGTGGAAGGGATGAAACAACTACCAAAGGGTTCATGAGCTCATACAAAAATTTGTTTTTCTATTGGATCCTTGGAGCCGGGCACTTCGTAAGTTTTTACTTCATCTTCATTCGTGTTGTTCTTATCATTGTTGTCTTGGGTTTCCCTCCTTTGTGGGACTCATCAATTTGCTAATTTTTTGGTGGCTTACCCGTGTAGGACTCTTATCCAAGACTTGGTTTGGAGTCTTCTAGTTAAAAAGGAATTTGGCAGCCACCAAAAGACTATAAGTTTTGTCCTTTTCTTTGGTTCATCTCTTCTCTGTTGGTTTGGCAAGAAGACATATTTTCGGCAGTCTTTGGTTCAACAAAAATTCAGCCTTCTTCTTCTCCTTTTTTGGTGCCAGAAAAATCTGCAAATTTGTTCTTCAAGTGGGTAACATTTCTTCACTTGATATTTGGGTTTCTTGCGGTTTGTTCTTGGAGATTTGGTTCACTTATTTTGTGAAGTATTTTCCTCTTGTGATTTACACCTTGGTGTGTTTGTAAGGCTTATGCCTTTTGGCCACTTTGAAATCTGATTTGGTGATAGTGGAAGAAACTGACCTACCGGTCGTCGTGGATGTACCTCAAGTTATTTGAGGGAACCACGTAAATCTTGTGTGCTTATTTATTTTCTGTTATTTTATTTATATTGCTTCCATTGATTTACACTTGTGGGAAAGCCTATTTTTCCAACATGTTGTCACCAAAAATTTCATTTGAAAAGAAAGAATCGACATACTAGAACCACCATAAAATCGGGTTAGAACCAGTTCACCATTGATAGCCATAACAAAACATACCAACATTAAAACCATCGCAAAAATCCACCCAAAAATAACATTTGACATATGTTGTTCTAATAACTTCGATTTTTTGGCTAGTCTAGACAGAGCCTCTAACTGCAATGCTTTCTTTTCTTGTGATGCCATTTACAGGTTCCAGTAGATCAGCCCTGTGTTTCTTTGCAGATGGTGGGCAGTATTACCCGATCACCGAGTAATTCAACATACTAGACCACAGAGGAGGACAAGAAGGAAGCCCTAATCAGTTAAGGGGTCCCGTAACTATTACCAAACCCCTAACCAACTTGGTGGTTTTCCATGAAAAATAAGCAATGTTTAACTTTTTAAGTGCAAAATAAATTCTAATAAAAAAGGAATTTCTGCATTGTTCATTCCAGTATTCACTTAAATTAACAGCAAAAGAGAAACTAATTTATGTTGACATCCTATTTCAATCATCCAAATGAAAAGCCAAGGGTACAAATGGCAAAAACCAACAAGAAAGGGGATGAAAAACCATAGAACAGTCCCCACCCTACCCGTAGTCTATGCTTAGTGCAACATTAAGATACATTGCAAGCTCTACTGAAATAATAACACATTTTATCGACAGGTTGGGTTGCGTTGCAAGGTTAAAGGCGGAAGTAGAAGAGTCATTCAATCTTGTTCGTCTAAACTATCGTTAGGGGAGAGAGAGAGAGAGAGAGAGTAAACCCAAGAAACAAAACTGAGTTAAGTTTGCTCTTCAAATATTGGCAGTTTAGTGGCAGCCCTTGTGAAATGCTTAACTATGGACACGTACCAGAGTCTTCTCATTGAGTATAATTGAAATTGGTTGCATAGAATTGGTACGAGTTGGCACACCAATTCCATGCAAAATATTTCTTCAATCTCACTTAAAAGTTCTCTACACACACCCAAAGACAAAAAGAAAGAAAGGAAGGCCTCAAATTGAAGTAACAACATACTAAAAGCAATTGGAATCAATGTTTTAAGGACAAGTCCCCTCTAATAAA